CAGGTGAGCGGAGCTGTTCCTTCAGCACCGGCGCTCACCTGCGCTCACCTGCCCGCCCCGTCCCGCCCCTCTGTGCCGCGGTTCGTCCATCGGGAGCGCCGGGAGCGCCGGGCGCGGGCAGCATCAGCCGAGCAGCGGGGTCGGGGTGACGCGGGCTGCTTTTCCTCTCCCCGAGGGGCCCCTCTCCTCTCTCCGGAGGGATCCCCGCCCTGCACCCCCGCTCTGCGGGAAGGGCTGGCACCGCTCCCCATCCTGGGCACGGTTTTTGGCGCTCAGATGGGGCTGTGCTTCACGGGCTGTCCCGCAGAGCAGCGGCAGAGCTCCGTGGGGACTGCTATAAATAAACAGGGTCCATATGGATCCCATTTCCTCTGCCGGTGCTCTGCAGGAGTTGTCTCGGGTCCCGGGGGCTGCACAGAGCGGCCGATGCCACCGGCGAGCCCCTGATTAGATGAGTGCCCGCAATCAGACTAATTGCTCAGACGAGCTTCCCGAGGGCCGCRGAGCCCATCCGGAGCCGCGTTCTTATCCTGCACACAGCAGATAACCCCGAGCGGGGCTGGGGCTGCTCCGGGAGCAGCGTGGGGCCAGTGCCAGCAGCCAGCGCCAGCCTCGATGCTCCGCAGGGCACTCAGAGGGGCTGCCATCCCCCGGGAGCAGCGGGGAGCCCCCAGCCTTCCCCGCATCCCTCGGAGAGATAACGAGAGGGAAATGGGATGGAAAACTGCTAATGAGGCCCTCGCAGGGGGTTTGCRGCGCCGGGGGTGGCCGAGGAAGGAGATGGGGGTGTGGAACGGGTGTCCCTGTCCCCTCGGCCCCTGCGCTGTGTGTCCTGGGGACAGGGCTGCCCACAGCACCCCCAAGGTCCGTGTCTGTCCCCCCGCAGGGACCTGAAGAACAACCTGATCAGCACAGTCCAGCCCGGTGCCTTCCTCGGCCTCCCCGAGCTGAAGCGGCTGTAAGTGCCCTGGACAACCCAGGGCTGGCCTTGGGGACAATGGGGACAGTGGGGCATCCCCAGCCCTGATGGCCCCTCCCTTCACCGTTCAGGGACCTCTCCAACAACCGCATCGGCTGCCTGAGTGCCAGCGTCTTCCAGGGGCTCCCCAACCTCCTCCGACTGTAAGTGGCACCCTGGGGACACCCTGGCCAGCCCTGGGGACACCCTGGCCAGCCCTGGGACACCCTGGCCAGCCCTGGGGACACCCTGGCCAGCCCTGGGGACATCCTGGCCAGCCCTGGGGACATCCTGGCCAGTCCTGGGACACCCTGGCCAGCCCTGGGACATCCTGGCCAGCCCTGGGGACATCCTGGCCAGCTCTGGGGACACCCTGGCCAGCCCTGGGGACACCCTGGGCAGTCCTGGGACACCCTGGCCAGCCCTGGGGACACCCTGGCCAGCCCTGGGGACACCCTGGCCAGTCCTGGGACATCCTGGCCAGCCCTGGGACACCCTGGCCAGCCCTGGGACATCCTGGCCAGCCCTGGGGACATCCTGGCCAGCCCTGGGGACATCCTGGCCAGCCCTGGGACATCCTGGCCAGCCCTGGGGACATCCTGGCCAGCCCTGGGGACATTCTGGCTAGCCCTGTCCCCCGACTGCTGAGATCAAGGGAGTGTGCGGGCACAGCAAGGGGTCCGCGAGCTGTCCCCTCTCCCAGCAGCTGCCTGTCCCCTCCGTGCCATCTCTCTCTCCTGTCCC